CGGGGTGCGAATCCCCGGGGCCCCTGGTCCGCGCCTCTAGCGCGCCCCTCTGGCCCCGGGCCTGGCCCCGCGCACGCGTGGGAAAGTTGGCCTGGAACCGGCCAGACCAGTTCCGCCTGGGCGCGCGGACCGGCCGCAGGAAGTTGCTGCAAAACTTTTTTTGGGGGGTGCAGCCAGTGCCCCCCGCGCGCCGCGGCCGGATGCTCGCGGGGTAGGGTGCCCCGGGCGGAGAGGGGTGCCCGGAGGGAGGATCGCGGAGGGGGCGCCCCGGCCCCGCTGCCCTGGGGCTATGGCCATGGTGACCGGCGGCTGGGGCGGCCCCGGCGGCGGCGGCAGCGATACGAACGGCGTGGACAAGGCGGGTGGCTACCCACGCGCGGCCGAGGAGGACTCGGCCTCACCCTCGGGCGCTGCCAGCGACGCCGAGCCGGGTGACGAGGAGCGACCTGGGCTGCAGGTGGACTGCGTGGTGTGCGGGGACAAGTCGAGTGGCAAGCACTACGGCGTCTTCACCTGTGAGGGCTGCAAGAGCTTCTTCAAGCGGAGCATCCGCCGCAACCTCAGCTACACCTGTCGGTGAGCCCCCCCATCAGCTCACCGCGGTGGTGGACCCACCCCGGCCTGGGCCGGGCCTCTGACCTGCTCGGTCACCTTGGGCTTGGCGCTGACCTTCCCTGGGCCTCCATTACCCCTCTGAGATAGGGGCACAGACCCCTGTCCATCTCTATTGCATTCCTGGGGTCGTGTATACAGTCAGCGCTGTATCGATGCTGATGCAGGACCCCCCATCAGGTGGTCCCTTGCAGCTTCCGCCTCAGCTACTTGCTCTTTCCTCCCTTTTCTTTGGACTGGGGCCCTCACGGTGCGCTGAGAGGTTGGGGGTGCTGTCAGGGGTGGAACCTTAACCACAGGGCATTCCTTTTCTTGGGGATATGGGCGCGCAGAGGGACCCGGCGGGAATCGAACGTGGAACTTGGACTGTGGCGCTTGCAGCGTCCAGGGGCCATTGTCTGCGGCCGCGCGGATCAATACGGCGCGCCCTTGGGGTCAAATATCACTTCCAAAGTCGCCCTGGCCACCGAGGAGATGCAGCGTTGTGGGCGAGGCTGGGTTGGCATAGGGTGGACTCCTTCACATCGGGGGTCCTGCTGAGGCAGGGAACTGGGTCTGCCGCACCCCCCACCCCCACCCCCGACTCATTCTGGGCCTTGGGTCACCGGAAACCACAACCGGAGGGCCTAGAGGGCAGCTGGATTTGGCCACACCTCGGCTGCTTCTCTGGCTCCTGCATCATCAGCCAGGGAGGGTGCAGACTTGAGCTCTTGGGAACCCACTGAAACTTCATAGCTCTGAGCAAGGTGGGGAGAGTGTTTCCAAGAAGAAACCCTGGGCTGTCCTAGTTTGGAATCCCCACGGGCAGGGCGTGTCCTGGCAGCTGCTCTGGTTGGTGTTAGGGCTGTAGGTCTCCGAGGAAGGCACTGGGGTAGGTGTCCGGTGGGGGTGGGGATATAGGGGGTGCGTATGATTTCACACCACTCTTGTGAGCAACCCTTTCCTCCTTTGATAAGCCTGTTCCATGCCACTCGCCCCAATAAATGGTGAGTCCCATTTCCCAGATGCATAAAACTGAGGCCCAGGGAAGTTGTGATACCTGCCCTGGGTCAGGCAGGGAGAGCCCTTACCCTAGTGGGGACTTAGCAAGGGGAGCAGTAGGATTGGGAAGCCAGGGTCAGGATTGTGTTCTCAGGAGAGCTGTTGATAGAGGGTTTGTTGGTTATGTCAGGGCCCCATACCTACTTAAGGCTAAAGTTTGGCTGTAGGTCCGGGGTCAGAGCCTGTCTTGGGTGGGCATGTACATGGGAGACCTGGCTTATTCCATTTTCCCAGGCTAACTGGGCCGCCAGACTTTGGCCTCATTCTTGCTACTGGAAGAATACTGTCTGCTTCCTGGCCTTGTCTTTGGGGAGAGATTCAGGTGGTTTGGGGGTCCATAGGACATCCTGAGGGCCAGGCAGAAAGCACTGAAATGGTGGAGGGGGGTATTGTTTGAGGCTGGCTGGTTCTTTAGAAAAAAGAGGCCCATCAGCTGTGTGCCCTGATGAAGTTACAGCACCTCACTGAGCCTCGGATGGCTTCAGCAGAGTCCCTGCACGCCCAGAGCCCAGACCCTGAGGTTTGATGGCAGTTCTCCAGAGGCCCCTCGCCGTCAAGCCCCGCCCTCTCATAGTCTTTGGGAAACAATTATGCTCCCAGCTTCTGGGGTTTGGGTTGGGCCAGAGGAAGGGATGGATTTGGGACCCCAGGATGGCTTTCTGAGCATGGGTCAGTGGAGGTGACCCATGAAGAATGAAGGATTTGGCAGGTAAAGGGTAGTGTCCATAGGTGAGACTGCCCAGATATGGAGTAAGTTAGAACTGAGTGAACTTGAAATGCTGGGCTGAGAGTGATGGGGAGCTATGGAGGTTGTGTGAGCAAGGGCGGGCTGTGATCAGATTAACTGGTAGTCTGAAATCTTAGAAAGTGGTCTAAGGTTGAGATGGACCACAAGGTTGGGTAAAGCATGTGCTTTTTGGGTGGGATAACAGGTAGAACTTACTGTTTTCCCATCTAGGGGGACAGGAGGTATTCTGAATCCATTGCTGAGGAAGTTGAGGCAAAAGTTTCAGGGCCTCCCCTGAGGTGAAAGGACCCTGAGCCCGGCCCCTTCCTGCCCCAGGCCTGACCGTTTCCACCCGGTTGCCCAGGATCCTCCCACTGCCTGCCCACCAGGCTTTGTTCTGGTTCTGCCTGAACTCTCTGAGTTAGCAGGGCCTCTTTTTGGGGGCTCAGGCTGGGCGGATAGCAGAGGCCTGGGCGCAGATATTATAGGTTCGGGCACTCAGAGGTGATACCCCCAGCCACCGTCTCAATTCTTACAAACCTGTCATTGGGACCTCAGACTGGGGTGACATTTTCTCCCAGATCCCCCAGACCCAATGTCTCATAGCAGTCTCATCTGCCTGCCTCTTTCCAGACCAGGAAACTGATGTTCACTGGAGCAGTTGCTATCCCAGGGTTGGGGCTGGTTGTCTGTAGTTGAGATGTGTTTGATTTTTTTTTTTTAAGATTTATTTATTAATGCATACAAGAAGAACTGGCCTACAGACCAGAGGTGCAGGGGGTGGGGAGGAGAAGGGGTAAAAGGATTCACCAGACACAGAGTAGGGAACAGAACAGATGGATTGACAGAAATTCATTGCTGAGGGGAGCGGCGGGGTGGGGGGACAGGGACAGAAGAGGTCTGCTGCACCATGTGGGTCACCTCCTTGGCTGGGGATCAAATTCATCTTTTAGTGGCTGCCGGCCCATAGCTTCCTAATGCTGCCCTTTAACCCCTTGTGCCACCAGGGAGTCCCCCAGAGATGTGTTTGATTTAAAATTTTTTTGAGTGTTTTACTCTGGTTGGTTTTGGGTACCTTCTTGGTGCCCAGCGCCGGGATACTGATCCCAGGGTCAAGAGCATTAGAAGTTTCATTGTGGCAGGGATCAGGTACTGGGGACATTTGAAGATTAAAGGCCTGAACCAGCCCCTCTATGGGACTGACCACGAACAGGGAGGGCGCTGCCTCACAGAGCCAGGCCTCCTCTGGAAGAAGCCACAATGACCCCCAAAGTCACCCAGATGAAACTTCTCTGGCTTAGAAGTTGGAATGTCTTCACAGAGGGAGGGACATCGATGTGGGGCCTTGAAGCACAGAGTTCCTTTACCCACTCAGTGTTGCAGACCATAGTAAAGGGGCTCCATAGCACTGTAACCCCTGAGAGAATCGGCCTGGCCAGCCCCTCACCCCTCAGTCAACTCAGAAAACCTAGCTCTCTGACCAGGTTCCTTGACTGCTCTCACCTTTCCTTCTCTTGGAACAAATACCCTACTCTGACTCTTAGCTGGAAGTGCCCAATACAATGAAACTGTTTATGCCTCCTTTGTTTTTGCATTTTCAATCTTTTGGACCCTCTGCATGGCATTGTCTCTGTTCACTTGGGAAACTTCTGTTCGTCCTTTGAAACCCAGCTTTGCCACAGACTCCTATTTATCCCTCACCATCCACCCCAGTGGTCTTTTCCGTTCTGTAGACCTGCAGGCCCAGCCCCGGTACCCCTTTGGAGGGCTTCCTCTCCTGCCCAGGGCACTGGTGTTTCTCAGGAGCAGCCTCCAAAGGTGTCTCATGGGAAGCAGGACGTGGAGGTCACGGTGACCTTCCTCAGTGACCTCTGTTCCCGCAGGTCCAACCGTGACTGCCAGATCGACCAGCATCACCGGAACCAGTGCCAATACTGCCGTCTCAAGAAGTGTTTCCGGGTGGGCATGAGGAAGGAGGGTGAGTGCCTCCTGGGTGTGGCAGGTTCAGGGGAGAAGTCAACGCCCAGCCCTTGGCTTGTGGAGGGTAGGGCCTGGCAGGGCCTGGCGCCTGCTAACCTTATTACCACTGATCCTGAAATCCCTGGGGCTTCTGTCTGGCCTTGGGCTGGAAGAATCAAATTATCTGTGATCACCTGGTGGCTTTGGAGGCGCAGGGGATGCAAGATGCTCCACCCAGTTGGTCCCATGTTAGACCTTTTCTCTGGTGCCTCGGCCCTCCTTCCGGGTTCCACTGGACTCAGACACTGGTTCCCTGGTCCTGACACCTCAGTGGCTGGCAGCACCCTCCCCTGAGCCCACCCCACCCGGCAGCCCCTAGCCTGGCCACTGCTCTCTGAACAAGGATGTGTTTTTCTATTTGATTTGTTTTCCCTCCAGCCTCCACCCCCCCTGCTTTGTGTTTGCCCAAGGCAGGAACTTGCATGATTAAGGCAAAGGGCAGCTTACCCTTCGCCTGACCTCGGGTATTGGAAGCCAGAGGGAGGCCCAGCCTCTTGTCTCTGCCCCAGGGACTTGGGTGGACACGTGCTGGACACCCTTAGATTTAAGTGGCATCCAAAGACTTGAACACAGAGCCTAGGGGCTCAGGAGCAGAATTTGGCCTGTTAGATCTAAGAGTCCTCATGCTTAACTCTCCCTGGCCCGGCTGGAAGTTCTGGCATGTAGCCTGAGTTTATCCTCTCCATAAAGTTGACTTTTTCTCTTCTGGGCTCTTGTGGAAGAAACTGGGATTGGCTGTTCAGAATCTTCCTCTTAAAATCATCTAGTCACTCATTTTGGTGCTTTTAAGTTTGGGGGTGACTCTCTTGTACCCCAACCTGGATTTTGCCTTCACTTGTCCATTTGACCTAAACTTCTGATGTATTTCAAATTAGGGCTCCAGCTCTCCAGAGCCTTAGGGGTGGGGATAATAATGGTAGCCCATGCTCCCAGCACAGTCAGATCTCAGGGCTGTTCTGTCTGCCTGGAGTTCTTTCCCCCAGATACCTGCATGGATTCCCCACTCACTTCCTTTGAGGTTTGCTGAAATGATACCTCTTCAGAGAAATGTTGCTTTCCCTCCTTTTCCCACTTCCATCACCCCCCTTTATTTTGTACCACCTACTTTGCACAGTAATTTACTTGTTCCCCCACCAGAATATTTGCTCCCCAAAGGCAGGTGGTTTTTTTTCTTCTCCTTTTCTCTGTTTTCTGACTTAGGTGCTTTCTGACTTATTTCTAGATCTAAAAGACAAAGTGCTCAATAAATGTGCATTAGCTTCTTATAGCCATGTAGCCCTTGCTAAGTAGCAAGTACTGTGCTAAGCAAGATAGATAGGTTTTCATTTAATTTGGTGACCAGTGTCATCATTGTATTATTAGTGGCATTATGGTTGGGACTTCAACTCACAGTCAGGAATAAATGAGGAGTAAGAGCTGGGGAAGGGAGTTCCCAGGAAGGAGGGAAAGCAAGTGCAAAGGCCCTGAGGTAGAACATGGCTGGATGATGGAGGAATGGTGTGTGTTGTTTGGAACTGAGTGAGCAAAGGGGGAAGTGAAAATGCACTCCACCGCCTTGGGTCTGGGACCCTGGGATTACAGCTGAAATTCACTCAGGCTTCATCCAGCCACATTTATTTGACAACTTATCCTGAGACTTAGAAATCATATCCTAGCCCCACTTGCTACATCATCCTGCTCACTGGTGGCTTGGCCAGGAGTTTATGCAGTTGACTGATGGGATAGGGGATACCAGCTCATTAAAGCTCATTAATTAGTTTGTCTGGCACCCAGCCCAGTTTACCCTTTCACCACACTCACCCTGACACAGGCTGAACAGCATACTGCTACCCTTTCTCTTTGCTTTAGGGATAGGCAGGCCAGGGGCCCCAAGCCCTAGAAAGGTGCCCCATCCCTGGCCCATCTCAGCTCTGGGACCCCCATGATTGACAGATGGGGACATGATTGACAGGTCAAGCTTCCAGGGCTGGTGAGCAGAACTTTGGGAATCCAGTGGGAGGTGGGGGACTGTTGGTGGCTGGGCAAGGGCTTAGGCTGGAGGGCACAGGGCAGAGCAAGATGGCACCTGCAGGCCCCTGGTTCCTGGCTAACCAACAAACTGCCCAAGGTGGGGCACGTTGGTCCCAGGATACCTGCGTTGGGAGGGCTAAGTGACCTTCTGCTGACTTTCTCCTGCCTTATTCTTCTCTACCCAACCCCTGACTCTAATGGCACCGCCTTCTTATTTCTCCTTCTGCCACCTGCTTCCCCCTCCTGTCTCTCCCATGCCCTGCAATCTTATTCCTGTACCCATTTTCATTATTCTCCTCCCCTACTTCCTGTTCCTTCTGGCCCCATCTCAATTCCCTCCTCCATCTCCTGATCCCCCATTTCTTCTCCCCTATCGCTTGAGCCCTCACTCCTTTTCCCCTCTCTGGACTCCCACATTCCTCTCCTCCCCATAACTTCTCACCTCCTGCCCTTCCCCCATTTCCTGCCGGAGGGCCCCCCTCTTCCCTTCTGTCCTGATCTCTGCCCTCTTGTAGCGGTGCAGCGAGGCCGCATCCCGCACTCACTGCCTGGAGCTGTGGCAGCTTCCTCCGGCAGCCCCCCGGGGACTGCGCTGGCGGCGGCGGCAGGCGGAGACCTTTTTCCCGGGCAGCCAGTGTCGGAGCTGATCGCGCAGCTGCTGCGCGCGGAGCCCTACCCTGCGGCGGCTGGGCGTTTCGGCGCGGGCGCGACGGGCGCAGTTCTGGGCATCGACAACGTGTGCGAACTGGCGGCGCGATTGCTCTTCAGCACCGTGGAGTGGGCTCGCCACGCTCCCTTCTTCCCCGACCTGCCTGTGGCTGACCAGGTGGCGCTGCTGCGCCTCAGCTGGAGCGAGCTCTTCGTGCTGAACGCCGCGCAGGCGGCGCTGCCCCTGCACACGGCGCCGCTGCTGGCGGCTGCTGGGCTGCACGCCGCGCCCATGGCCGCCGAGCGAGCCGTGGCCTTCATGGACCAGGTGCGCGCCTTCCAGGAGCAGGTGGACAAGCTGGGCCGCCTGCAGGTCGACTCTGCTGAATACGGCTGCCTCAAGGCCATCGCACTCTTCACGCCGGGTGAGGGGCCATGAGCCGCGGTTGGAGGTTCCTGACCTCGGGATCCTGACCTCTATACCCCAACTGCCTCACCCAAAGCCAGCCAGACCCGTGGCCCTGCAAACGGTGCCAGTGGAGGAGGCCATGCACGCTTGTGACACCCTGAATAGTTAGCTCTCCAACCCTAGGGGTACCGATTCCCGGCCTCTCCAAACCCTGTCTCTAGTGATACCATGACTTTGCCACTCCCTGATCCCCAGCCCCTCCCAACCTTCTAACCCTGATATCCCCACTTCCTGAGCACCCACACTCCTAAATCTCTGATCCTTTGGTTAGCATGTTCTTCCTGCTTATTGGGTGCCCTATGGAAGGCTGCCAGGCAGCAGTGCCCTGATGCTTGGGGCTCCCAGCCTTCAGACTCAGGGGCACCCCAGTGCAGTCTCCGTGCTGGTGGTGGTTCTGGGGTGGCAACCTCCCAGTGGGAGGTGGGGAGGCTGCCCAAACACCACCCTTGCACATCTAGCCCTGAAGCAGCCACCTTCCAGTGACTGGTGGCAGGGCTGGCCCACCCTCTGGACAAATCTCCCTATCCCAGCTTGGGCAGTTCCCTTGTCCACTGTAAAGCTTTGGCCCCCAGTAGTTGTTTCTGAGGCTAGGGAGGCCGGCACAATCCCAGGCCACTCTGCGAGAGGCCTTTCATTGGGAAAACGATTTTGCCTCACCTCCATTTCTGGGACCACTCTCCCCTATCTTCATAGCTTCCCATCTAGGTGCTGTCACGTTTGCTCATACCACAGGCTCCTCTGGGCTATTTGAATACTCCCTCTGGTGTTCTCGTACCTTCCTTCCTAAGTCCCCTTCCTAGGCTTTCCCTTGGGCTTTATTGGAACTTGGCTGTCACAGGCCCTTTTTCACCCTTAACATATATCACTGTACCCCTGTGCAGCTGTCTACAGACAAGGCCACCTCAGTATTTCTTGAAGATTGACACTGCCCTAGATACCCCCATTTTTGCCCAGACCCCCATCCCATACGCCGTCTTTGAGTGGTGCCTGAGTCACCTCTGGGGCCCTGCATCCTCCCGTCATCTCCTACCCATCTGACCTTGCCCTTGTTGTCCCCAGATGCTTGTGGACTTTCAGACCCTGCGCATGTGGAGAGTCTGCAGGAGAAGGCACAGGTGGCACTCACCGAGTATGTGCGGGCCCAGTACCCATCACAGCCCCAGCGCTTCGGGCGCCTGCTGCTGCGGCTGCCGGCCCTGCGTGCTGTGCCCGCCTCCCTCATCTCCCAGCTGTTCTTCATGCGCCTGGTCGGCAAGACACCCATTGAGACGCTGATCCGAGACATGCTGCTGTCGGGGAGTACCTTCAACTGGCCCTACGGTTCAGGCCAGTGACCTCAAAGGACTTGGATGTTGGGGCCTCCAGAGGGTTCCCCCACGTGGAGGACCACCCCCTTCTCTCTCCTCAGACTCCTATTTTTTAAAGACTGTGAAATGTTTGTCTTTTCTGTTTTTTAAATGATCATGAAACCAAAAAGACTGATTGTCCAGGCTGCAGCTGCATCATCCCTAGAACCTCTAGTTGAGATGGGGAACAGGAATGGAGAGTCCAGTCCCAGACATTCTTGTCCCTCAGTGCCTGAAGCATGAATTCTTGGGATGGTGGGGTTGGCTTTCCTGACTTGATGAACAAAGTCCTGGCATCTGGACTGAGGGGGGCCACAGCCGTGCAGCCAGGCAGGCTTAGCGTGCGCCAAGCTGATCTCCTGGACATGTAATCCACGTTGGACACTACATGATGAACGAATCAAGGCCAATAATAAAAATGTTTCCTATCTGCATAGCCTCCCTTGTTATCTTTTTGAGGGCTGGAGGAAAGTGAGGGCACCCTACCACTGGCATTCGCTCCCAGACCTTTGGAATGCCCACAGCCTACCAACAGCCCTACATGCTGTTTTTGTTGGATAATTTGGTGGGGAAATGGGACTGGGGGTAAGGTGGGAGTCTCAGGTAAGCCAGAGTCCGCACGAGTTGAGATCAGTAGATGGTTTAAGTTTAAGGCTCTGGTCTATGAGGGTATGCCTCACAGATTCACACATATTCTGCATTAAACTTTGTTCTCTTTAGTGAGCCCTGAATCGTGTCTGGACCATAGTGTCTTAGGAAGAAAGAAATGGGGGTAGCTCAGTCTCATGATCTCAGTCCAGACAGACCTTTGCATTCTCTTAGCTGTAGATATTAGGCATGTGGTCCAGATATCAATGAGATTGATGGCAGGATCTGTAACTAGGATACAGTCAGTGCAAAGCAAAACTGAGCCTCAAGGGCCCCTCTGGTGGCATAAGGGGTTAAGTCGCAGTGCTATGAAGCTATCCTCAGCCACTACAGCATGAGTTCAATCAATCCCAGGCCAAGGAGGTGACCTACATGGCTCAGCAGACCCGCTCCTATCTCACCCACTGCTCCCTTCAGCAGTATATTTCAGTAGATCTGCCTGTTCTGCTCCCCACTTTAGTCTGGTGAATCCTCTCACCCCTGCACCTCCAGCCTGTATCCCAGTTCTTGTATGCATAAATAAACCTTAAAAAAGAAAAAACCCTCAAAAGAAAGACGTTTTCCAGGATGCCATCAGAGCCCCTGGATCAAGCCATACCCGAAATCTGTGGATGCTTCATTGTGATTCCAGACTTCCCTTTGTGTTGCTAAATCACTGTGAATTTGGCTTCTCACATGTAACAGAAAAACCTTATCTGAGATTGGCATTTGGAAGATGCATACCTATCATAAACTTTGAAATGTGGACTAAACTGAGTTGATGCAGGGCACTAGGGCCCCTGAAATCCTAGTCTCAGACCTGGTGGCATAGGAAAAGGCATTTACAGGTTGTCAGGGCTGTGATTCTTAGGGGGGTGGGTAGAAAGGACCTAGATGGTGTGCAGCACCTTTTAGACTTGACACGACAAGCTCTCCATCAAAGATAACGCCTTGAAAGCAGTGAGAGAAGAACCTGGGTCTCTGCAGGGTGTGCCAGCATTTGGTCTTTTTTTTTTTTTAAAGATTTATTTGTGCATACAGAACTGGGGCACAGGCCAGAGGTACAGGGGCCGTGAGAGGATTCACCAGAGACAGAGTGGGGAGCAGAACAGGCCGACTGAAAAAGTACACTGCTGAGGGGAGCAGCGGGCAGGCCAGGAGAGGTCTGCTGCGCCATGTGGGTCACCTCTGGGGCAGGCTGGGATCAAACTCATGCTGAAGTGGCTTTAACTTCTTAATGCTGTGCTTTAACCAGCTGCGCCACCAGGGAGGGCCCAGTATTTGGTCTCAGTTCTCCAAATGCTCCTTTAGCACCCAGCTTCCATTATGTCTATCTCAGAAAAGATCTGTGAAGATGCGGGTGAAGCCATTTCCTGTGAAGTGAATGAAGATCTTGAAACTGCCTGCTCTGATCGGGGGGCTGAGATGGGAGTGGAATGGGAAGGGTACTGAACCTCCACTGGAAGCTGAACTGGCATCTGCCCTGGGTCAGTGTCTTTAGCAATGTCCTGTGGATAAGTATGTCCAAACCAGTCGGGCGGAACAGAAACACACTTTCTCGTAAAAGCAGGACATCTTAGGACTGAATGAAACCATTGCATCTCTCCTGTAGTCCAGTCTCTAGGTCAAAAACTTGGATGTTTGTGCAGGCTTGACTGCTGAACTACTCCAGTGAAACCCGACCCATGTGGTTCTTCCTGCAAATGATTCCTTGAGCCTTTTTGGATGTTAGGATTTTGCCCTCTAGCCCCGAGTTACTGCTATAGCACGCTGGGTGGTCTTCCTTGAAGACAAGATCGCCTTGAGTACCAATCCTGTAACTCCTTCTCTACCTCCCAAGTGGCCAGCACTGGCTTTCCTGCCTGTTTCCTTCCTTTGGGTTCCCTGGGAAGCCAGCATTTAGAGGGCATCTCCTGGGCCACCCTCACATGGCCACACAGGGAGACTTACCCTACCTATGCCCCTCCCCTCCCCCAGGGCTGGGGTGGATACCCTCCCCTCCCCCAGGGCTGGGGTGGCCCCCATAGCCAGGCCAATGAACTGTACTCACACCGTGCCTGATGTCAACACTTTAGCAAAAGTGTCCCAGCCCCATGGAAGCATCAATGAAGTACCCAGGGAGAAGTGGGCTCATTTATCTGGGCTGGCATCAGGGTCTTCAGCAAGGCTCCTAGTTAGGCAGTCCCAAGCAGTCCCCCCTTTCTCTTCCCCAATCCCTCCTCCCCACCCCCAAACACACATAGCCAAGCTGTCAGGAGGTGGCTCCCTGAGCAAGGCTCTAGGGTCCTCAGCTCATTCTGCCCCTATGCAGGGCATGTGGGAACTCTTGGCCCCGGGGAGATCCCCTACCCCAAGTCAGTCCCTCAGCTTCCACCTGGAAGAACATGTAAGACTCTTGAGGCAGAGGCTGCAGTGGAAGGAGCACCCTGAACAGACAAGGGTTCATACTTTGCCTGGAGACCACGGGCAAGTCCTTTTCTTTAAATTTTATTTCTCCTCTAGAAAAATGGAGAACAATTTCTAGCTGACGGCTGAGTGACACCAGGAGTGTTAAGTAGATACACACAGTTGGTATTTAATAAGTGTTAATTCCACTGAGATGGAGAGTGGGAACCTGATTCCTGGGAAGGATAGGGTGAATCTAGGGTCCCCATGGGGTCATGGCTGGAGGTCTTGGAATAGGTTCAACAGCAAGTGCTAAGGCTGCGAGGTGGGACAAGCAGCAGGCGCAGGGTGGGCGCCCCCCCCCGCCCCCGTTGTCATGCCTGCCTGCCAGGACGCTCAGAAGTACACTGAGCCCTGACTGTCTTCTTGGCTGTCAAATTTCTGGATCTGCATTTTGAGGTGCCTCAGTTTGCTCTTCAGGTAGCAGCAGCGAGCCTGCTTGTCCAGGAAGCTGGGGTCCTGGGCAGGAAGAACCAGGAAAGTCCTTTTGGGAATTTGGCCTTCCGCCCTCAAACTGCTTACCCCTTTGCCTTTTTGTTTTTGAACCTGTTTTCTCTCCAGAAAACCAGGCACAAGTCTCAGTTTCTGTGGGAGTGTCAGGGGTCGGAAGGCCAGGAGAGTCAGGAGGCATAACTCACCATCTGCTTCTTCTCAAATTCCCTCCAGACCCGAGAAGTAAACTGGGCCTCTTTCTGCAAGGGAAGGAAGAAGAAGGGGCTCAGGGAGTGCTGGACCCTAGGGCAGATGGGGAAACTGAGGCTCTGAGAGATAAAGTAACTGGTTCAGGCAAGACCTCAAGGGCTGACCTTGGCAAACATGCTATGGTGCCCACCCAGCCTAGAAGATGATGAGGCACAGAGATCTGGACCGAACAGGTGTCCGGGAGGTAAGGTCAGGCCATCCAAGAGGGCCTGGACCTGGTTTTCTGCCTTGCTCCTGACCTGGCTTCGGGGCGGGGGTAGGGAGTCCAGCAGCGCCCCCAGCTGCTGCAGCTTTGCCTGCGCAGAGCCCACTTCCTGCTGGAGCTCCAAGAACTCTGTGTACTGGTCCTGGAACACGGCAGCATATGCCCTGCGTTCCCTCACACTGCTCACAGGTGGGTACTTACTGCAAGTTTGAGGGGGTGGGGAATCAGAGTGAGAGTCTAAAGAAGCTGTCCCTTCCCCCCGCAATCAGTGTAATCTGCTTTTCTTTGTCCGTGCTGTGTTCTCTGCCCCAATGCCCTTGTTTTTTGTTTTTGTTTTTTTAACTACTTAGTAAACTTCTATTCAATTGGCAAAAGTCCAGTGCCCCTTTCTACTTCCCAGTCCTTAGGCATCAGGAAGGGCACTCACAGCTCATAGTCAGGCACTGAGTGGGGCCTGGGCATAGGCCCCCCAGGTAGGGTGACAATAGGTTTCCTGGTGTTCAGGAGAGCCCTGGAGGGCAATTCATCTTCAAATACAATCTTCTTGGGTCTTATTCTTGGGGCTCCTGGCTGAGGCTGGCACAGAGGACGGTGGGTGCTGGTTTTCGTGCCTCGAGACACCATTTGCTGTAAGCCAAGAAGTCAAGGCTTGTGGTTATGGAGGGTGTGGCGAAGCCGGGATCATTCGAACTGGGGGTACTAAATCTGCAAGGCTAGGCCTGTGGACTCTCCTTCCATTCAGACTCACCGGGGGCCCAGGGCCAGGTGGGCGGCTCTGCAGGTGACCCCAGGGGCTGCAGGTCTGGGGGCAGTCGCGGGAAGGCATCCCCCTCGGGGAGGGGCCGTTCGGGCGCCCCCGGGCCGATGGCCGCGTCCTGCGGACTGTGTCGCAGCCCGCGCGCGGCGGGGGCGGTCGGCGGGAAGCCTGCGAACATGGGGGGACGCGCCTGCCGCCGTGCACCGCAGCAGGACGCGTGGGGAGGTGGAAGCCACGGCAGCCAACTCTCCCGCCGCGGGCGCCTTCTCCAGCCCCAACGTTGTCAGCATAGACTCACGCGATTGGCCATCAAGGTACCCCAGACCCCGCCCCAAAGGCTGCGTACCCCGGAAGGAAGCTATGCAAATGAAGTATGGCGTTAGCACGCACCGCGGGACTTGCTCCCGTTAACCCCTGCGCTACCGGCCACCCCGGGCGAGGCGAGACGGCCCACAGGGGCCGCCGGGAGAAGCGTACCGGGACCTCCGCACCGTATGCGCGCCCTACGAACCGCATTCGTCGGGGTTACCTGTCCCAGCGTCCGGAGCTCAGAGTCTAGTGCGTTCCGGAGAGGAGCCTGCGTCCCGGTGTGCACTAACTGCAAACTGGACCCAACTGATCGGGTCGCTCCTTAGGGCGGAGGCGGGGTCTAGAGACACAGACTTGGCTGGCGGTGAGGGGCGGGGCCTGTCGATGAGGGGGCGGGGCCTGATGATGCCGGAAGTGGTCCACACCCTTAAAGTGCTGGTTCCAGTCGGAGGGAGGCTGGGACCAGCTGCTTGTCTAGGACTTCGACCCTTAGTTTATTTTTTATAGTTGTTCAGACGATTTCATTATTTATGCACACAAGAAGTGGGGTAAAGGCCAGAATGCAAGGGGTGAGAATTCACCAGAGACAATGGGGAGCAGAACAGATGGATTGACTGAAGTACATTACTGAGAGGAGCAGCAGGCTGGTCAGGAGAGATCTGCTGCGCCATGTGGGTTCCCCCCCCGCCCGGGGTAGGTATCGAACTCGTGCTGCCGTGGCTGCAGAGAGCTTCATAGCAATGTATTTTAACCCATTGCACCACCAGGAAGGGCCTTAAAGTTTGTCTGAAAAATCGGGTGGTTTGTGGGGGACTTATCTGTTTACTCAGCAATTATTATTTTTTTTACACAGTGTCTTATTCAAATACAAGAGTGATCATACTTGGTCCAAGAACAACCAGTAAACCAATTATAATCAGATGTAAAAGAGAGGTCTTCAGGGCCCTCCCTGGTGGCGCAGTGGGTTAAAGCGCTGCACTGAGAAGCTAAAGCCACTTCCGCAAGAGTTCGATTCCCGCCTGTCCCGGAGGTGACCACATGGCGTGGCAGACCTCTCCTGACCCGCCCGCTGCTCCCCTCAGCAGTGTACTTCGTCCTCCTGCCTGTTCTGCTCCCCACTCTGTTCCTGGTGAATCCTCTCACCCTCTGCATCTCTGGCCTGTACCCCAGCTCTGTATGAATAAATAAATACATCTTTAAAAAAAAAAGAGAAGTCTTCAAACTTTGTAGCTAATGATGCCACACTTGCCTATGATCTTGCAGACATGAAACCACACTCACACCTCGGTGGCCACCAGACCTTCAGCAGAGCTCTCTTAACTGCGCTGTTTGAAGCTACCAGTTTTAGCACTACAGTTTTTCTCAAATTCTGAATAGCTGTAGGGATCTCAACAGGCTGGAGGAGCCAACTCAACTTTGTGCCAAGATGTGGTCAATGGAGGCTTTGAGCAGTTAGAGAACCTGGGTCGTCTCAGCGAGTTTATGCATACATGGGGCCATGGTTGTAAGGCTGGAAAGTTAGTGACCCTATCGGTCTGTTGGATGCCAACCTCTCTACTACCCGCCATATATATGAATGTGTATATATTTAAAAGTACTACTTAAATATTTAAGAGGCAGGTTTGGAGAATTCACAAAATAGAAAAGACATAGGAGATAAAAATGAATTTCTTTCTTACCCTATTCTGAGACCACAGGGAGCAGTAGTTAGTTGTGTCTTCTGGAGATATTGACAAACAAATATATTCCTCACTACAGACAATACCACAAAAATTCATGTGCAAATTTCTTTGGCCTATTTGTGGAAGGATTACCTGTCAGGTCAATTCCTGTTAAGTGTCTTTCCCTAGGGAAAGGGAACTCATGTGTTTAAAATTTGGGAGGATGCTCTTAAGTTGTTCAGGTTGCACCATTGATGCTTATACCAGCAGTGAGAGAATCGCTGTTTTTCTTACAGTTTCGTCAGCCCTGTGTTAAATCAGATTCCCTCAAGAGTATTTTATTTAAAGATTTATCTATTTATGCATACAGAACTGGGGTACAGGGCAGGCCAGAGGTGCAGGGGTGGTGAGAGGATTCACCAGAGACAGAGTGGGGAGCAGAATAGGCAGACTGACAAAGTACACTGCTGAGGGGAGCACTGGGCAAGACAGGAGAGGTCTGCACGCCACGTGGGTCACCTCCAGGGCCAGGGATTGAACTGGGACTGAAGCAGCTGCGGCCAGCTTGCAGTGCTGTGCTTTAACCTGTCGCACCACCATAGACTCTTACTTGTCAGTTATGTCTTTGTAAGCCTTTGTTGTGTCCCAAGAGTTCAGGCTCTAGCTGTGGTTGGGCTGAGCCCTGTCCCTGAGTCACCACCTTCAATTCAAGGAAGGTCCAGTGACAATGATCCCTCTTCCAGGCACAGACTCACTCTTCCCCCATGTCCAGACTTCACCCTGGCCCCACCAGGCTCCAACTCCATCAGTGGGGCTCCTGGAGCCTGGTCTTCTCTGATGAGGGGTAGGCACATAAGGAAATGGGGGTGTGTGTGTGTGCTAAATTATTGCCTCCACTATCCTGCTTTTTTTTTTCCTGCTAATGCACTCTCAGTGGCTCTTAAGAATCTCCAGATACTCGCCTGTCTTGCTACCCACCCTAGAAAGAACCCCTGGACAAGACTTAGGGCAGACAGAGAACAATGTGAGTTGGGCCAGGCCTTTATTTGAGTTTGGGCATGATGCGGATGAAGAGGATCATGCTGATGAAGATGAAACAGACAATAATGAGCATGGCCCAGAGAAGCCAGTTAACTGACTTCTGCGTGTGCTGCTCCAGCCGCTCTGATTCTGTTTTTAGTTTCTCCAGGTTCTGGTCAGCCATCTTGAGTGAATGAGAAAGGGTCTGTGGGTGAGGAAAAGAATGTGCCAGTAAGACTGGGGCCAAGTGTAGTTTCTCCCTTCCACCCTACAGCAAGTTTGCTCTTGCCCTTGGTACTTTTTCCTCTGTTGGGAATGCCATTTTTTCTCCCAAACTCCTGTGTTCATCCAGCTAAGCCCCATCTACAGTGTTCCTCTGCCTTCTATAGTTGAGGCTGCAGAGTTCCCACAGCTCTTATACCTGGTTGTCCATCTTGATGACACTCTGGGCAGCCAGGGTGTTGGTCTTGAGGCTCCGAGCCAAGCCTAACATCTCTTCTGCCAGCTTCTCCTGAAGGTCCTGGTGTCTCTGCAGGACAAGGTCTAGCTCGGCTGCCGACTGCTTCTCATTCTCTGGTCTGGGCCCTGACACCCCACTAATCCCACACATAGGTAGATGGAAAGGCATAATTTGGGTTGGGGGAGGGGAAGAGATTGACATGTTCCCAAGAGACCTCAAGGTTATGGCTCTAGATACTGCCCTGCTTGGGGCTCAGTTTACCCATCTTTGCATTAGTGTCTAGTAATGACATCCCTAGAAGTGGCTTTGGATTATTGGTTTAGATCCCTATGGTGGTGCCTCTGTCCAGCCCCCAACCCCCCTCAAAATGGCCCAAGGGTGTGAAACACTCACATTCTTTTCCTCACATCCAGTTGGGGCTCTGGAAGCAAAAGAAGCCAGGCAGGAGGAGAGAATTGGTTTTCTGTTCTCCAACTTCCTGACCACTGCCATGAGGTGTCTGCTGCCTATAATGCTGTTCCCCATCTTTTCTATCTGCCCAGTAGGTTCCTGATCATGCCACAAAGTTCTAGTCAAAAGCCCTTTCTTTAGTAAGTTTCCCCCATCTCCATTTGGTTTCCCCAAGCCTCAGGTCTTTCCTTGCACTTAGCCTTGGTCCTGTGCTAGAATGTGGGAATGTCCCACTGTACTTCCTTTAGAGGCCACCTGCGCTGCTCCCCTCCCTACCCCCCACCTCACCCCCAGCTACATCTCGGTGATGCTCCCAGAGGCACTCCTTGTGTGCAGAAGATCCCATGGGAGCCAGGTGAAGCATGAAAGATGTGGGATCGCAAGGATACAGGTCTTGTCCCAGGCAGATGGGCCTTGAGTCCTATTCTACTCAAGGTGACTCACCTCTTTCAGAGTCCTGTGGGGGGTTGGAAAAAGGGAGAGGCAAGAAGCCACCCATCATTATCATGGCCCCAAATCTGGCCTTTTTATCCTCAGAAACTCCCCACTAACCCAAAGTCGGCCCTGAGCAATTGCCGTGCATGACTTCTGAACTTCAGTTTTCTCATCTGTAAACTGATAACAACAGCTCATATTTCAAAGGGGTTAGAAGAGCACTTATCCTGTTTACAGACTGAAAAAAGCAAACCACCTAAACACTGTGGCAAGGCAGGAGTTAAAACTTGCTCTGCGCCAACTTTGGGGCTTAATCAAACATGTGACATCTTTGCCTTGAAACAAACTGTTTCCCTAGCAGAATCTTGGTCACAATGTCTGTGTTGGGAAGCCTTGTCTGATGGCCCAGGGAAGAAGCTACTGAGGTCCCTAGGACCCAGGCACCTGACAGTATTTGTTGTTCTGGCTGCACCCAGGCACTGAACTCCTGCTCCCTCCAAAGCACTCCCAGGGACCAGGGAGGGGCCCTACCGTGCCTAGCAGCTCGCTCCGCATCTCGCTGGTGTATCGTGCCCGTGACTGCAGATGTACTGTCTTGGTGGCAGGCACCCTCTCCCTGGCTGTAGTTGGCATGCGCCCAGGGGCCAAGAACTGGTTGGCTAACGCCTTCTCTGAGGAGGAGGTCTGCAGAAGAAAGAATGGTCACCGGAAGTGGGGTTCTCTTGACCCAGGTGACAGTGATGAGGATGCCTCTGCTCACCAGCTTCTCTGCCTGCAGCATGCCCTTCAGAAAATCCACTTTGCGGGAATATTCATTGATCACCTCTGAGGCAGGTTTACTGGAAAGTAAGAAGAGGGAAAAGAACACCTGTCCCCGGTTCAAAGAAGGGTCTCTGCAGGGATTGGTGTCCAGAGGTTCCTCTAATACAACTTGTCCCACCCGGATTTGAACCCCCTGTGGTTGCGAGTACTCACCTGGCCTGGGCTTTCAGGGCCTGCAGCATGTCCTCCAGGGCCCCCACATACTGGGGAGGGAAAGTGGGGTGTTAGCTGGGCCCTCCCTCACTCCTCGTCAAAGGGGTGAGAGCCCATGGGAGTGGGGAGGAAGCTTATGGGGGAGGGGGAGCGGGGAGAGGCGGGGGAGAGGCGGGGGGGGGGGGTGAGAGCCCATGGGGCGGAGTCAGAACCTGTGAGGGGCGGGGCTGGAAACAGGGAGGAACAAGTGCCAAGAAGGCGGGACTCGCAGAGCCTCAGGAACAGGGCGGAGCTGCAAGTGGATTGGGGGAGCTGACAGGAAAGGGCGTGGCCAAAGTGGTTGGTGGGACAAGGGAGTAGGGAGGGCCTGCTGGTTGTTAGTTCAGGTCAATCTCCTGGGAGTCGAACTCTACGTGACAGTGTGGGCTCACCTCACCTTCTCTAGACGCCACTCGTCTGGGTCCCGCTTCTCTGCTGCCATCGCCTCGCAGCGGCACAGCAGCCGGACCAGGTTCAGCTCCAGCCTCGACGCCGTCATCACCGCTCGGCTACACGCCGCGCCTTCCGCTGGCGCCATCTTCAGGAAGGGCGGAAGTGCCTTCATATGGCTTCCTTCCGGCTGCCCGCACCCTCCCATTCGTTCGCTTTCCCATTTTTGTTTGGGGCGGAAGTAGCATCTGGTTTCTAGGCAAGGTGCGTCGTGTCCATATTTACTTAGAGATGAGTCTTTTGCTTTTCGTCGTGAACCCCTTCCCCTCGGTTTGAAGGTACTACCCTTTGGGTGTCAAGCCATATGCAATGCGTGTTCCGCCTGTTTTTTACTTCCTGCTCAAAATTCCTTCCCCACTGCCAATCCTGCCTGGGTTCTTGCACACCGAGCTCTTCCTCATCCATTACCCTTATCTTGTTTTCTCCTGGTGGAGAGGCCCTCAGCCTAGGTCTTGTGCATCCAAGGCTTAAGGGCCTATCCAGACTTCTGTCACCGCGCTGCTAAACACGACTTTCCTCAGACACATTGAAACGTATTTTTCCAAAGCATATTGAAACTCATAGTTTGATAAGTTCTCGGTACTCAGGAAATGTGCCGGGTCACAATTGTATTAAGTCACGGTTACCAGGTTAGGCCACCTTATGTTCAGCTTTTATATAACAATGCTTCTTGGGTTTATATGTAGTGTTTTTCAAGTTAACCTTTAACAGAATGAAAAAATGGTTCTCACTTTAGAGTGTCATGGGAAAGGATGGACTTCTTGAAAGTGAACCTAAATAAAGGAATGTGTGAAATGACTGACACTGTCAGATGAACCATTGCCAGATGAACCTGGCCTTCTCCCAGCGCTTTTTGGTCCTTTGTTTGCTCTCCTTGTAAGAGACTTCTTTATCTCTTCTAGAGCATAAGCCCTCCTTTCTCCCCTTTTTAAAAAAAGATTTATTTTTAAAGATTTATTTATTTAGGCATACAAGAGCTGGGGTGTAGACCAGAGGTATGTATGTGGGGGGTGAGAGGATCCACCAGAGACAGAGTGAGGAACAGAACAGATGGAAAGACTGAAATTCATTGCTGAGAGGAGCAGCAGGAGGCAGGAAAGTTGGGTCACCTCCCTACCTGGGATCGAACTCGTGTTGCAGTGGCTGCAAATAGCTTCTTAGTACTGTGCTTTAAACCCTAGTGCCACCAGTGAGGGCCCCTCTCTCTTTCTTGATCAATGACTTAACTTTATACTCTTGTGTTTTCAAACTCAGTTTAATTTAACTGACTCCCATGACACTGTTGAAGACTTCCTGTTGAGTGGAGGGAAGCACACCCCATCAGGTTTCTATTACACTTAGGGTCTGGTGTCAAACCCGAATCCACCCTTCCCCATTTCAGGGCATTTCCTTTCCTGGGAAATACACACTCTGATGGTAGCTGCCTCAAGGAGGAAATGAGCCTTGGGAGCTAGAGATGTGTCAGTTTATCCCTCATGTCCAGGCCGCCCCCCATCCACAACTTGGAGAACCCACTTCCAGCCCACCCGTCTCTAGGAAGTAACTCCTTACCCAGGCCTGCAGAGCACTGCTCCTGTAATGGACAGGGTGAGGATGGAACCTCCCCAGGAATTGGGCCTGGTGTGCATCTCCCCACTCCTCAGGTCACCTGTGTCCAGATCACTCTGGTTCATTCTCGTGGGCCTGGTATCCTCCCAAAACATCATGGAGGAGACAAAACACAAGTTAGCTAGAGGGGGGAGGTGCATTAGGGCAGACTGGGCAGGGCCTGAGTCTTACCCATCCCAGCTGTGTAGCTTTGGACCACCAACTCTCCAGCATTTGCAGTGTCAGCCTGGGTTCTTTATAGTCCTGCCACACCACCAGTGAACCCATTTTCACGACTGCCCATCTTCTTGCACCGGGTCCTGCCCCTTGCCCCACTATAAATTGGCCCCACATGATTTTTTTCAAGGTTTATTTATTTATGCACAAGAGCTGGGGTGCAGGCCAGAGGTGTGGGAGGTGGGAGGATCCACCAGAGAGAGAGTGGGGAGCAGAACAGGCAGATTGAAATACACTGAGGGGAGCAGCGGGCGGGACAGGAGAGGTCTGCCAAATCATGTGAGTCACCTACCTGGATGGGGATTGAACTCGTGCTGCAGTGGCTGTGTATTGCGTCAGTGCTGTGACTTAGCCCCTTGTGCCACCAGGGAGGGCCCCCATATGATTTGTAAGCCCCAGCTGGGGAGACAAGGCAGCTTCCAGAAGAGCAGGCTCTCCTCACTGAATGTAGCTCTCCCAGGAACTCTTTGTTCCCCCAGTTTTCCGGATCAATAAATAACCCCAGAAGCCTTCCACCCTGGTCATAGGAGTATGTCTGTATGACTTTCCAGTGGCAGATTTGCTGGAGGATTTAGGCAGGGTACCCCGACAAGGGGCATAACCACTCCCAACTCCGTGTTCCACCTGGCTGAGTGTATCACCTCTCTACTGGCCCCAAGCTGATCTGAGGAAAGAATTGCATGCAAACACCTCTTAGGCACTTTTTCTTTATTTCACATAGTTTGTAGGGTGCTCCTACTTTCCAGACCTGTGGCCATGTCTGGGTGGGGCTGAGCCTGAGGGAGGGAAATCCTGTTCTGGAGACTCTCAGGCTCTCACTGTTATCTGTAAGCAAGTGAAACCGCAGGTCTTGTCCTTCCCACTGTGTGGAGTCCTGAGTGTCGAGCTCCTGTTCTGACAGACAGGCTGTGCCGAGGGCAGCTGCTGCTGCCAGGATTCCGCGTCAAGGGCACAGTGGACTGAGAAGTGCGGGCCACATCTGCAGTTCCCTGGGATGCGAGGTCTGTGGTGCCCCAGGTGGAGGCCAGTTCCCTCCTTGTGTCCTAGCTCTGGCCAAAGCTGTGGTCCCTAAAGAAGGGCTTACTGCCCATTGGTCCCTTGAAGGAATATTGGCCAGGCGGCAGCTGGCCAGAGAGTCAAAGCCCTTAAGTTGGGTCCTAACATTAGGCCCCAAATTATCCCAGTCCTCCAGGCTTTGCTCTGAAGATTCACGTTCAGACATAAGGGAAATGCAGGACATTAATATAAAAGTTTGTACAGGCACATATAAAAAAGAATTTGGTCTTCTGTTAAGGCTGTTACAATTTAAAGTTATGTAAACCACGCACAAAGAAAGTTATGAAAACATACAAAAGGGGAGTTGGGGGGGTGCCAGGCCACCTGCTGGGATCCACGCTTGGAGCAGGCATGTCTGTGCGACGTGGGAGCTCAACGAGGGTGGCCTGGCTGCAGATGGCGCGCTCGCCTGGACTCGGGCTGGGGCTGGAGTCCACCTCTCCTTGCTCCTGCAGCTTGCATTCCGGACCCTTCTCAGCGAGCTGAATGCTGGACCTGGAGCCCCGGCACCCAGCTCCGGCACCAGGTCATTGGGTGTATGGACTCTGACAGCTGTGGGCCCTCAGCCATTGGCTTGGCCCGAGGTGGGGGGTAAGCAGTAGGTTGGGGGGTCTGAGTACCTCCGCCTGTTCCCGGCTGGCTGGCTGTCCTCATCCAGGGGCTCCAAGATGCCCTGCATGGGCAGGAGAGTACCCGGCGTGATATACACAGAGTGGACCTGGTCCGGGCGGCGGGCAGGTGGCTCTCGGCGCCTCACGGGGGCAGCGGCCTCCTGGGTGCCTGGCACCCAGCCAGGGAGGTGGGACGGCAGGCCAGGTGGGAGCTTGATGTTGGCCGTGGGCATGATGGGGGTCCGCCTGGGGGTCTTCACTCTGACCGTCATGGAAGATGACGGCCTTCGTCTCGGAGGGGTGGCCGCCACAGGGAAGGGGCTCAGGGTGGGCGCACTGGGACAGGGGACAACAGATGCGGGGGGCCCTTTTGAGAGATAGATGGCAGGGTTACTGCAGCTTCAGGACCAGCAGATGGACCCTCGCCCTGGGGCCTGCCGGGGGGTGGACACGGGAAGGAAAAAAGCAGACGCTACCTTAATACTGACCTTCCGAGGCCCCCCGCCCAGCCCGATCCTCCAGCAGGCTCTCGGTGCTGGCCGAAGTCTCTGAGTCCAGGTTCTCCTCATCGGAGCCCCGAGGGTCCAACTCCGGCAGCCGGTAGGTGATATCCTCCCTGGGGGAGTGAGGGCATCAAGATGTCCAAGGCGGCCTCATGGTGAAACCCTACCTCCTGGAGGCACCGGGTCCGCGGAGGGCCTCCCCAGCTAAGACCAGCTGTTGCTCCTCTGTCAGCCCTGCCCTCCCTGTAAGATACTGTGGCTCCCTGTGGTCAAGCATGGAGGCTTTTTTAAAGAATCGAGTTTAAGCAGGGCCCGCTAAAAGCCTTTGTGGTAGAATTTTTGGACAGCAGCACCCTGCAAGGTGGGTCCTGGATGCCAGGACTGAGCCTAGTCAGCCAGCCCCCTGACGACTATGTCCCCTGGGCTGAGGTGGGGGTGGAGGCGGTGGATGGGGGTCAGACGGCACAAACAAGGATGGTGGGGGCCAGGGACACTTGCTTCTCCTCCTTGATGGACTGGATCCGCTCGATGAGGATCTCTTTCTCACGGTCCTCATCACCTCCGGCCACCTCTTCCTCCTCCGGCAGCACCTCCAACTCTTCTGGGCCATTTCCGCTGCTGCTTGCCTGGATCTTGGGGCTCTTGTTCTGCAATAGAGAATTGGAAGAAGTCTGGCCAGTGGCTCTGGTCAGGTGAGGGTCAGTACTCACAGGTCCTCAGTGGGGCATGAGCAGGGCCGGGGAGGTTAGTTCTGATGTGGGACAAGTGAGGCTTCTCCAGGGGTCCCGCAGGGACAGAGTGGTCAGTGCTTGGTTGATTAGTTGTTTTCAGCACAGGTGGTCAGCAGGCAACAGGCCTCTCCCAGCATGCATTCTCATAGAGTTAGGACATGCTTCTGCTATCCTACAAGGATCCATGGGGGGGCCAAGGGGAACCCCAGCATGCACTGCACCAGGAGACCTGCAGGATGGACCCACTGAATGTGTACATACCATGACCCCCTCATAGGGAGACGAAAACCCCAGTTTGAGAGGCCATGGCTGGGGGAGAGATGAACCACAGCAGGTCACAACTATGACACAGTACCCCACACCATGCATGCCCAGAGGACAAAGACAGGGTCTTCCCGTAGGAGCCCAGAGCCCTCTCCCCTTTCTTCCCCAGCCCCCCCATAGGGCTGACAATGGAGGATGACCCAAACTACTACCAAGGGGGTCACAGGCCTCCACTACCCTTTGAGAGGGACAGCTGGCACAAGCCTCAATGAGGATGGCAGTCGGCTCGCCAAGGCAAGGATTTCACTATCAAGTATGCTACCATGAGGCTCCTGGCCACACTGCCTGTGGCCAAGAGCCTGTGCGGTCGAGCTGTGAAACTTGGCTCCCAGACCACTTCCTGAGGCCCCACCCACTTGTGCAGCCCTGACCAGTCTGACAGACCCCCGCCCCCCACGCCAAGTGCTCACAGCAATTTGTTGCAGCAGGGATAGTCGGCGGACGGCTATGGTCTCAGCAGCCTCTAGCTGATTGATCTCCTCCATCTTCACCTTGTATTTCCTCATCTGTTCCTTGATCAGCATCTCCACACATCTGTGGAAAAGGCCCGTAAGAGGGGCCAGGCATTGACTACCTTGATGACTGGTTTGGGGGCCAGAGTCTAGGGACACCATGGCAATGGTGGTCCGGGCAGAAACTGGAGACCAAGCAGGGCCAGGGACACAACAGCGGCTCCCGTCGCAGTGCGTTTAACTGTGTGACCTCGGGTAGCTCACTCCCCCGAGCCTGCGCCACAGTGCTAGGCGCCTCGTTTGAAAGAGGAAGCACAGCAATGGTGGGTGAGAGGGAACGAGCTCCTCGCTGCCACCCCGCCCCGCAGGGTTAGGCTAGGCAGTTTGTCCCGGGGCAGCAGGGAGCTGGCCACAAGGTCTCTTGAAGGTCTGCTGAGACCTGTGGCCTATTGCTCAGGGCCAGCCAGAGTGGTCAGTACTGGGAGACAGCCTGAAGCCAGCACTGGAGACAGCTTAGCTGGAGAGTCAGCCATGACTCAAGGGCCCTATCAGCAGGTGGCACATAAGAACCAAGCAGCTCTCCTGCCTGCTTGTGACTAAACAGGTGCCTCTCTTCCTCATAAACGTGTCCTTTCAAAATGTAAAACAAAACAAAACAAAAACAACAAAAAAGCCACAGAATGTGCTAGAAGAGGCTGGAAGAAAAGTCTGTCAACACCAGGGCTCTGTCAGGGCTACCTCAGGCTCTTCTCACTGCTTGTCACTGTATTAACCACAGCCTGTGGCTGGGGGAGCATATTTTCAGGCTCTTAGTCTTACAGTTGCCACCTAAATGACATCCTTGAGTGACTGATATCTGAAAATGCCTGTGAAGATAGCAGGGGAGCAAGAAGAAACCTGAACAACCTATTTCAATTTACTGCCGGCTCTCCTAGCTCCCAAGGCAGAAATGCGGGCTTCACCCTGCACCCCTCACCGCGAGATGAGGGGTGAAGGGCTTTGTCCTCGTCTGGTTCTTAGGCCTCTAACCGGATGTGATGCCTGCCGAAGAGACGCTGACACATGGCTACTGGCGGCACATGAACCTGTGATGCCGGGTGAGGCTGGGGCTATGTGCCCCCTCCACTCTGAGGGGCGCCTCCCTCCATCATTGCAGCCTGGTACCTCAACCCCTCTGCTAGCAGTTTTGCTTCACTGCAAAAGTTGCAGGGGCTTATTAGAACAGATCTGGGCAGCGAGATGGGTGGAGACCCAAGTGACCAAAGTCCTCTGAGGACCTCTGGACTAAAGGCGACCCCCAGCTACACTGGCTTCGAGCTGTTCTCTTCTGAATACGCATGGCCTGGACTGTGGCATTGCTGGGTTCCAGAACTCTTGATCAACGGTTGTGGGGCTCCTGCCTGGGCGGCCTGAGCATTTTGGGGGCAGGGGCCACTCACATGTGGAAATTTGGATTATTCTGTGCCTCAGCTATTTTGTGTCTTTGCCTTGATCATTCAGTGCCTTTACCGTAGGATACGAACAGGGAAAGTTAGATAAGGAACCTCTTAGGGCAAAAGTCCTGGTGTGAGGATCTATACATGCTGAACACAGCAAGACATATCATGGTTAGAGCTGCCAACACACTGAGCCTTCCCTGGACTCTCCCTGATTTCCTGGTTCTGGCTGGGGCCAGATGGTTACACGTCACCCATATACTTGAGCATTCCCTGATTGCCTGCCTGCTTCTTTGACTTTTTTTTTTATCTTCTGCCCTTGGGGCTGGGCTGTACCTTTGCTGTGTCGCCCCTCTCCGCTTGGCTTCTTGTACACACGGACTCTGAGTCATCCTTTGTCATCCCACTATCACAGGTCCTGACAAGATACTCACGTGGTGACCTTGAGGACGTCCTTCACGCTGGTCAGTGGGTCTGAGTTGTCAGGGCAGCGCAGAAGGCAGGGCGCGAAGATGATGGCCAGTGCGCTGGGCGACATGCGGTTCACATCCTCCAGCAGGGCCACCCTGTATGACAAGCTGCAGTTAGGGGTGTCCAGGGGACCAGGGAGTTCTGAGCTCTGGGTGGCTATGGGGAAAGGGTCGTGTAACTGGGAAGAGGGAAATGCTCAATTCTGTAGCCAAAGGTGCCAGGCCAACATTCTGGTGTAGGACCGCCAGAGAATGCTGGCCTGGGGACCCCAACCCACAGACAGTGGGTGGCAGGTGGGGGTGGGGGGAGCACTTGCTTGACCAGATGGAAGATGAGCCGTTCCAGGGACTTGTGGTTGGCTTCAGGGAGGTGCTCCAGGACGGCATAGATGGCAGCCAGCTGCTCCTGCTTCTCTGGTAGCTCTAGGAGGGCCGAGAGTGTCAGTTTCTCAAGGGCCCTAAGCCATCCACTCCAGGATAGGGACCCAAGGTCAGCTGGCCACTTTGTGTGCTTTTTAAGATTTATTTATTTCTGCATACAAGAAGTAGGGCACAGGCCAGAGATGATGCAGGGGTGTGAGAGGATTCACCAGAGACAGAGTGCAGAGCAGAACAGGTAGAACTGAAACACACTGCTGAGGGGGGCAGCAAGCGGTGGGCGAGAGAGGAGAGGTCTGCTGTGCCGCGTGGGTCAGCTCCCTGGGCCAGGGATGGAACTCATGCTACAGTGGCTGTGGCTAGCTTCACAGTGCTGCGCTTTAACCCCCTGAGCCACCAGGGTGGCCCCCAGCTGGCCACTCTGAGCATCAGTTTCTCAGCGATGACAGGGTGGTCCTGCCTTCCTGGTCACAGCAAGCACTTGGTACTCTATATTCTTACCCAGTCATCTGCCCACATGAGACTCACCAACAGCACGGAGGAAGTCACCATACTGGGCAAAGGTCATCAGGGGCTCAGGCAGCTCCCGGAGCCACAGCTTCAACACCCCGGTGATGGCATGGATAGGAAAGTTCTCTAGCTTGACAGCTGCGGGGTCTATGGGAAGGGCAGGCGGGGCCGGTAAGTGTGGAGCAGGTGGGAGGGCTATGCTTGCAGCCGCCACAGCACCTACCTGCCTTCCAGACCCACCTGTCCTCAGGCTCTCTCCTTGTGACTGCCCACCCCCCATTTTCCTGTGTTTAGGTCTCCTACTCTTCTGACTCACCTGTCTGCAGTGCCTGCCGGAGCTCCCGTATGCGGTGGGTAGCGCCTGATTTGCGGTAGAGGCCCTCTGTGTACAGGCCATGCATCTCCACATGTTCCAGAAGTTTCTCCAGCACAACAGGCACCGAAACCTTGTCACTAGTCAGGCTGTCCACACACACGCCAAAGTGGCCTGGTTCAGCACCTGGCTCGCTCTGCAATGCCGGGAATTTAGGTCAGGGCCTGGGCCTACGACTTACCCCTGGGCCCTCCTTGCACAGCTACTGGGGTCAGCAGGCTACACAGGCCAGTCCAACAGCTGCCAGCAGTGGCTCTCTGCATGGAGCACTCATGGTTCCCACACGGCAGTCAGTTTTAGCTCAAACTCCAGCCCCAACACTTGGGACCCTGTCCCCTCATGGACAGAGTTGGGGGCTTCCCCCAACTAGGAGGAGGGAGGAACAGGTTCCACCCTCTCCTGCCATCTCTCTGGATGGCCTCCTCTGTCTGGACAGTGTCGTCATGGGAAGCTCTGGGCCACCTAACGCGGGCTCACCTTCTTGCGGCAAGTGTAGGAGCAGTAAGTCTGGATCTTGTGCACGCACTTCTTGTGGCATGTCATCTTGCACACTAGGAGGTCACAGAGGCTGTGTTGGGGACCTCAGGTGCCTGAGGCTGCCCACCCCAATGGCTAGGATTCTCTGACCAGCTTCTAAATTTGAGTCACAAAATCTCTGCTCTGATTCCCAGGGGAGGAAGCCATGTGGGTAGGTATCCATAGCTGGTAACTCTCAGTGACCTCCCAGGCTGGCAGGATAAGAAGCAGGGGTTTGGGGGACCAGAACCTCAGTCACACCCGGTGGTAACCCTGGTGTCGTCTCAGGACAGTGGCAAATGCCTGATATTTATGAAAGAGTGGGGTGGTAGGTAGCTCTTGACACGGGACCAAGGAGATGGGAGAACTTGGCCTAAGTATGGGTCAGGCCTGGCTGGTCCTTGCAGGAAGTACAGTGCCAAGACCCTGGGGGTCTGACAGGGCTCCCAGACAGGTGACTGTGGGCCATCTCCATTATCCTGTCTTTCAAGGACTTTGTGCAACTGATTGATCTCACCTGGCACTTGGGGGAGGGGCTGTGAGAGGGCCTGGCAGGGCAGACAGGAGGAGCAGTGTCTACAAAGACTCAGAGCTACTACCGGGGTCCCTCCTGCCCAGATGGGTGTGTGGGGTTACGGCCACTGAGAACTGGCTCTACCCCAGGTTGATGGTGAGGGGTCTGAGCAGGGGAGATGTGGCTGTGGTGACAGGATTTCAGGGTACATGGGGATCCAGGGGTTTGGTGCAAGGTCAGGAGGTGTAAAGGGGGGTTTCAGGTATGTGAGGCATCCATGGGGGACTGTGGGAGTGTGTGTGATAGAGAATCAGGGGCATGGCGGGCAAGGCACACTCACCGCTGCAGAGCAGAGCCTTGTCCATGAGCCAGATGTAGGAGAGGCACTGCTCACAGGACTGCGGGATGTTCACCTGGTAGCTGGCGAACACGTGCCCGTTGTGCTGCTGGACCTGGGCAGGGGAAGGACACTGAGCACCGAGCCAGGTGCCCCATGGCATCATGCAGCATGGACGGCATCTCAGGCCCGGGGCTGCTTTTCCCTGGCTAGGATTCCTCAGGGTGGGCAGGGAAAGTGGCCCGCAGGTCCCCACATCCGTATGTATTCAGAGAATGCACTCACGTACCATGTGCTTGCACACACTCATGCACATGTTCTCACAAGCATGTTCACACCATATCCACACTCGTGTGCACCACGCACACACATGTATGTGTGTCACAGGCAAACACCCATGCATGACCCCCGTTACACAGACTCAAATACATGGCCACACACTCGCATGCTCACACACATACTCACAGCGCGTTCCTGCTTCCGCTTCTTCTTCTGAGCTTTGCTCTGCTGTGAAGGAGCACAAAGATGAGGTCCACATGAGCTCCTGAGAACACCCCCACCCCAGTTGGCCCCCAGGCCATAGAGGACCCCAGTGTCAGAGCCCTCTCACTGGATGGTACCACACACCTTAGGCAGCTCAAAGTCACTCTTGCTGTGTCCTCGGGTGAACTCGTCCAGCAGGGACTGGAAGAGGTTGAGGACCAGGTTGGTGTCTTTCTCACCGTGTTCGGCTGCCAGGTTGCTCACCAAGATCTGGTAGTTCTCCATCAGGTCCTTGTAGCCGACGTGGATCTTCCCATTCTGTGGGAACGCAAGGAGTGACCCAAGGGAAGACACACAGATGGGGACTGTGGGTCTTCCTGGGGTGGGGCTGAACGTACAGGGACAGAGTACATGGTTTTCAGGTTGCTCCTGAACTTCTCGGTAGCTTCAATGAACAAGCTCTCGATGGGCGTCTTTTGAGAACGCAGATCGTTTATCTGGAAAGACAGGGAGGGAAGGATACATTGACCCTGCACTACCTGAGGTGGGGCCGCTGAGTACTCACCCCTCCGGCCTGTCCTAAGTCCTGTCCTGCTCCCCGGGGCTCCCAGGAAAGAATCCAAGCCCTCTGGCTAACCCTGGCCCCACCCAGGCCTTCAGCCCAGGGGAAGCTATTGGGCTGCAGGATGCTGAACACCACCACCAGCTTCACCTACTATATGCCAGTCGCAGAGAAAGTCCTGCTGCCCAGAAACACATCCGCAGATGTTGCCAAGTGTCTCCTGAGGCCAGACACGACCGAGAGGCTGGCTCAGCAGCGCCCTTCCTGCTGTCTGGCCACCCCCTTGCGCCTGGGCTGGCCCAAGGGCCTGGTTGTTTCAGGACACCTCTATCCTTCATAGGGCCCCTGACCCTTCAGCATCCCTAGCAGTCCACTACTGCCCCTGAGCAGAGATTCCCCAACTGCTGCTCTGTCTGCAGTGGGAATACCCATGGCCTTGAACACCCCAATTCCAGGGCGCGGCTGGTTTATAGCTCCGCCACACATGGTAAGTGCTCAGTGTCTACAGTGATACCCAGTGTGTTCTGTAAAAGTGGATCCCAAATAGGAGAAGCTGTTCACAGCTACACTGAGTGGAGGGACAAGGTGAGGTCGTAGGACCCTAGGGCGACCTGGTGGGACTTGGTGTGCCTGGAGGATCATTCTGGATCCTCTGTGTGAAAGGTGGGGCAAAGGCCTCTGCGGGGCATCCAGTCCATGTGCATACATGCATCGGCAGACTGTGGCAGGCCAAGACCCCTTGCCTGAAGCCCTCAGGGCTGGCACATCCCAGACTCTGAATCCGAGTTCAAGTGTGACATGGTCTCACAACCCTGGGACAAAGACCCACTATATTTTGCAGCAAAACGTGAATTTACTTCAAGCAAGGTGGATATAGACCACAAAGCATCCCATATGAGCCTCGGCTGGATTTGCAGAAATGAGCTTATGACAAACTAAAGGACAAGGGTCTGGTTTCTGGAACTTCCTGCATGCTGGCCTGTGGACCTGGACTTCCTGTTCCCGGCCCACTAGGAATGGCATTCTGGTGATGGCCCTTCAGGCGAGGCCCAGGTCACACCCCGCTGGCACCCCCTACCCTTCCCTGCCTCTGCTGGGTGCTCACCTTGTTGAGCAGGAACTCATCCAGGAACTTGAGCTCGTTGGCGTTGGTGATCTTGCGGAACACCGACTCCCGCCACTTCTCTGACACGGTGATTTTGCCAATCTTGAGGTTTCGGTTCTTCTTCAGTTTACTGCCTGGCTCCTTGGTGTGCTTCTCGCCTGCCTGGCGGTGCTGGTGGCTAGAGGGCGCTGAGGAAGATAAGTAGCCGCTGACCAGGGTGGGTTCCCGGGTGGGGGCATCATAAAGTACAAAGACCCAAAGCCCCACACTGCCAGCTGGGCAGGGGTCTGAGACCAACCCAGATTTGGCCCATGGCCAACTCAAGGCCTCACGGGGACCATCCACCTCCCTAGGGGTCCACATGGTTCTGGTGTCCATCCTGTGGATTGCCCACCTTCTAGATTCCTCTTCATGGCGGTGGCTTCTATCACACCGTGCCCTGTCACCGTGTTCTCTATCTCTTCTGCACCCTCCAGGTTGTATTTCTTATCTTTGTTCTTAGGCAGGAAAAGTCTCTTAAATGTGGATCTGGAGAAGAAAGTAAGGGATTTTGTTTAAGCCTCAGAAAGTGAAAATGGAGTTTTTTTTTACTTTATTGTAAAGAGAAAAAGAAAAACACCTTTCTGTGTTATCATTGGAATGCTGTCACTAAAAATCAGATCAATTTGTGTGAACTGATAGGGGAGCTCAGGCGGCCCCATTTTCATGTAAGAATAAAACAAAGCTATCTCCTTTGCTCACTCCTCCCACATTTCTATAGCCACAAAGTTAGGAAAAATATCAGGAGAGGAAGCCACATCATTCCACAATGTGAATCCTGGGTATGTGGTGGACAAACGGTAGCTTCCTAAGACATGTCCTTGTGCTAACCCCAAGGGCCTAGCAGGGTGACTTATTTGGGAAAAGGACCTTTGCTAAGGGGACTAAATGCTATGTGTCCCCCCAGTTCCGACACTGAAGCCTCATCTCCAGTGTGATGGTATTACAAGGTCCCGTGGTCTGTGGGAGGTGATTAGGACAGATGAGCCCCCACGAAGAGGATCAGCATCCCTAGAAAAGGGGCCTTACTGCCCTCCCTGGTGGCGCAGCGGCTTAAAGCACAGCACTAAGAAGCTAAAGCCACTTCAGCATGAGTTTGATCCCCGCCTGCCCTGGAGGTGACCACATGGCGCAGCAGACCTCTTCTGCCATGCCTGCTACTCCCCTTAGCAGAGTACTTCAATGATCTACCCGTTCTGCTCCCCACTCTGTCTCTGGTGAAACCTCTCACCATCTCTGCACCTCTGG